AAAAATTAAAGTAAAAAGAAAATACAAAATAACGAAAAATGTTAAAATATTCCAAACAAAATACATACTGAAACAGCTTGACAATCCTCACTGCTTTTTCACAGAACTCTAGCATCTGGGTCCACCTAAGTGACCTTCTCTACATTTATTACACAAGAGAAAGCCTATGTACAATGGCACGGCTGAAAGTGTTTCTAATGCAGGAGCTCTCAGCCTTTGCTGTGCTTTAAAATCACCTTGGGAATTTTTTAAAATCCCAGTGTCCAGGTTGTACCTCACACCAATTAGATCAAAGTCTCAGAGAGTGAAACCAGGCATCTGTATTGTTTAAAACCCTGGTGATTCCAATTTATAGACAACTTTGAGAGCTCATAGCCTAGTAATATTTAGTCAATCCCATACTTATTATGTAATGAGGACAAGGACTTCATGAGATTTGAGAACCACTGTTTATAATCTAAATATTCTCTGCATACTTTGGAGCCCTGTCAGAAGATACACCTCTGCTGTGATTTGGGAAGTTTCTTGATCAAGATGGTGACAAATACAGAAAACTGAACATTCATCTCCTCATGTCAACCTTCCTGACATAATCATTTCTACCCTGAGGATGGGACAGCTCCATGTCCCCCAGCATTAGTCTAGAAAGTGTGACATAACACGGTAGTCCTAAAAGGCCAGTCCCAATGTGAGCATCCTTTCAGAGTCTTTTTATCGTGACAACAAAGGAAACACACTAGTCGAACTCTACCTTGAGGCTGCATAGGGGGCACATGAAATATCTCCATTCAACGCAAGGTGGTAACATTAAAGGAAACAAAGGTGCCTGCGCTGTGTCATGGTGGCAGATAATGATCCATCCCTGCTAAGAAGGAGCATTGGTTACTTTGCAAATCCATGACTGAGCATCCCTGGGAGAAGCCCTGCCTACTCTTTCTGATTTCAGGCTCAGAGGACCGTGAAAAAACCACATTTCCTCTTTTCACTCTTAATTTTACAGGTGGTAAATATCACTGGCAACCAGGACATCTGTTACTACAACTTCCTCTGTGCACACCCATTGGGCGTCCTGAGGTAAACCCAGTCCTCCAGTTGCCCGTGAGGCATTTAAAGATGCCTTTCTGTCTAATGTTGTCATTCCAGTTTTTCTAAATGCTAAAAATAATTGTGGAACCTTATCCCAACCAAGGGTAAAGAGGTACTGAACCAAGAAGTTGAGATGAGGTATGCCTCTCTCCTTCCTGTCTGAGGGCCTCAGGAAGCATTCCTAAGGAGAACTTCTGAGAAGAGGGTAATGATGATTTTGAAAATGTCAAGCACCTGGCTGTGATGGCATTTGTTCACAGGCACGAGCTGGCAGCCTACTGCCTCGTTCAAGCCATTAAACAATCTCATGAGACATTGTTATCCCTAGTTTTAGATGAAGACAGGTAAGGATTTGCTAAAGATCCCTCAGCTACTAGTGATGTTAGGACTGGACCTGCGCCTGAAGCCTCCAAGACCAAACTTCGGCCACTAGATTTTGGCAAAGTAGAAAGAGCATTGACCTGGCTGGGAAGCTGGCTTGTTGGTCTAGAGCTGAACCAGCCTCTGTTTCCTGAAAGAAAGCTGCTAGCTGTGATCAGCTTACATTTACCCTGAAATTCACAGAGAGTTGAATATTGACTCTTAACAGGGGTCCAACTATGAGAATTCACTCTCACGGTGTAGCTGAAACGCTTGCCCATCTTTAGAGCAGTTCTCTTTCCATGCCGGTGGCTTCGTACCATGCCAGTGCCATTGGGACAAGAGAGGATTGGGCAGGTGGTAGGGAAGCTGACAGGGCATCCCTGAGAGGAAACACAGGCTAAGTGAACATCATAAAATGAAGTAGTTAGAATAAAGAGGACTTCTAATGATTTTCTGATCCTGAAACCTTTAGTGGTAGAAAATTCTGAATGCTGAGTTCACTCACCCCTTCGTGCATTCATTCATGCTCTGAATCCCTGTGGTTGCCTTACCTCCCTCATGATTTTCATACATCCCTGCAGCGCTTTCAACAACATTCTCAGTAACCTGGGCCACGTGCTTCTGGGCTTCCTCTTCCTGCTGATAGTCTTGCGCCGGGACATCCTCCATCGAAGAGCCCTGGAAGCCAAGGACATCTTTGCTATGGTGAGGAGAGGGTGGCCAAATCAGAGGAGAGAACTAGCCAGGGTTGTGCTTCCAAATGGGATCTGCAAAGGGGAGGGACAGCTGGCTTGATGGTGTGATAATATATTAACATTATGTGTAATGAACCATATGGGGGGCTCAGCGCCTGTGGCTCAAGTGGCTAAGGCGCCAGCCACATACACTTAAGGTGGCAGGTTCAAATCCAGCCTGGGCCTGCCAAACAACAATGATGGCTGCAACCAAAAAAATAGCCAGGCATTGTGGTGGGCGCCTGTGGTCCCAGCTACTTGGGAGACTGAGGCAGGAGACTCGCTTGAGCCCAGGAGTTGGAGGTTGCTGTGAGCTGTGATGCCACAGCACTCTACCCAGGGGGACAGCTTGAGACTCTGTCTCAAAAAAAAAAAAAAAAAGAACCATCTGGGGCCAAAAGCAGGGACTTGCAGATTAGTGGCATGGTGGATAATTCACCAGTTGGCATCTTTCTATTGACCACCCTTTCTCCTTTTTCAGGAGTATGGAATTCCCAAACACTTTGGTCTCTTCTATGCTATGGGCATCGCATTGATGATGGAAGGTGTTCTCAGTGCCTGTTACCATGTCTGCCCTAATTACTCCAACTTCCAGTTTGGTAATTAGAACTTATGTCTACTACACTTACTTGAGTTACATGAATCTTATTTTGGACCCTCCCCCAAATGCTAAAGTCATATTTGCAAGAATTAAATGGCATTTTATGCGAGCTGAAATGATCTAAGAACCTCTCACCAGCTAGCTTCCATTTTATAGAAAAATTAACAAATTTCTCTCCAGAGCATGAATTCCCTCTCATTGGCTGTGTGAGAGTTCTTATTTCCCCACATCCTCACTAACATTTGTTATGACATTTAACATTTAAATATTTATAAAGCTATATATGTGCAGTGATCAGTGTGGTATATATTTCAGGATGTTGAGAGTGACCTCCCATGCCCACCTGGGACTCGTTTTATTGTCACACTGCCAAAACTATCACCTCAATGAGGGACTCTTCTGTTATTGTTATTGAACATCAGTCTTTAAAATGTAAATACCCCAGAAAGTGAGGATAGTCAGTCATTTTATCATGTCAAATACTTACTTTTCTTCTGTGAAAGAGGAGTGATTTGTTGTATTAGCTATTTGTTATATGCTCTTCTTCTGTGAGTTCAGAACAGCCTTGGAGGTGTTTAGAAGCAGAGTGTAAGGGTTCTGCAGAGAGAATGTGTCTAGAGAGGCTGACTTGTGGGAGGTCTCCACAGTCTGAGGGCAGCAAATAATAGTCCATGGACTGAAGTGAAGGGCTATTAAGAGCCTGAGGAAAAGTCTGGATAGTATCATCTGTCACTGACTGAGTCCTGACATCCTGGCTCCTCGTTTGCATCCTCAGACACCTCCTTCATGTACATGATCGCAGGCCTCTGCATGCTGAAGCTCTATCAGACCCGCCACCCGGACATCAATGCCAGCGCCTACTCTGCCTACGCCTCCTTTGCTGTGGTCATCATGCTCACTGTCCTGGGAGTGGTGCGTGCCTCTCCACCTGCCTGCACTCAAAAGTGTCCCCTTGGGATGCCTGTTGCTGTTTGTTTGTTTGTTTGTTTGTTGGACCTCAGGTGAACAGGTTTGGAATAATCCTCCATTCATGACCCATTCTCATCCTTGACCCATTCCCAGCACACTTTTACTTATTTATTCAGTTGGTTATTTTTAATAATGTACTGGGCACCTGCCAAAGGGCCCCTAATAGTTTTGGTATAAAGTTGGGGCCTGACTCATGTGAAATTGGAATATGCACCCTGATTGGAGAGACTGACTTGAGAGAACAGAAACCACCTTCCAAATGTGCATGGGCAGCTAGCAGCGTTGGCTGTCTTCAGTTATTTGAAATGCATCAGCCCCCACTGTAGACTTACTGCCCCTTCACTGTTGTTATTCAACTCTCTGTCCTATTTCTTCCCTTTGCCATTTTCGCTTGCCAGTTAGCCATTCTTTTTCCTGTTCACCAAGCAGGAAGATCTCTGTAAGTTCCATCCAAGAATGGGGAAAAAACAGAATGCACAAGAGCTCAGTTTTGACTCCTTGCATGAGAGAACAATTTTAGTGAGTTCTCTTACTAAAAGGTAACTCCCATCTTTACTCTTAGGTATTTGGAAAAAATGACGTGTGGTTCTGGATCATCTTCTCTGCAATCCACATTCTGGCCTCTCTGGCCCTCAGCACCCAGATCTACTACATGGGTCGTTTCAAGATAGGTGAGTCACCTGTCATCCTATACTAAACACATGGATTAACACACTGAAAAAGGAGGCATTGCCTTCACCATCCTAAGTGAAAGCGTTACTGGTCACCATGACCATGTGCTCTAAATTCTGATTCTGTGCTGTGTTTAATAGCATATATTCTCTCTAAGAGCTTTCTCTTCTTTATCGGATTGCAGTAGGCTATTATCACTAATTCTGTTTTCAGCTGAGAAACTAAGCTTGCCACACCTCCCAGCTGAGGCATACTTCCTTGCAGCAAACACTTTGCAACCTACAATTTTGAAAGTGCATTTGGAGAATGATATGATCATCATAACACTAATTCCACATAGAGGAATGTTTTTCAGTTTGCAGTATTTAAAAGGAGCATTTCTCTAAACATACTAAATGATTGTCAAGAGTGAACTACATATTTTCAGATTCTAGGGCTGGAACTTTTTGAGGCCAACTTGCCCATCTTAAAGGTAGGACACCTGCTGAACTCCATCCAACAACGTGAACTTCTTAGGGAACACTGAATGTTCCACAGAAATCAGCTTGTGGGCCTGGTGTGGTGGGCCCTGCACTCTGGAAGACCAAGGCAGGAACATCACTTGAGGCCAGTAGTTCAAGACCAGTCTGAGCAAAAGCAAGACCTCCCCCCATCTATACTAAAAATAGAAAACATCATCTTAGTGTGATGGTGCGCACCTGTAGTCCCAGCTAGTCAGGATGCTAAGGCAGGAGAATCAGTTGAGCCCAGGAATTTGAGGTTGCTGTGAGTTATGATGACTGTGCCCAAGTGACAGAATAAGACCCTATGTCAAAAGAAACAAAGAAAAAAAGGAAGGAAGAAAAGAAGGATAGAAGGAGCTTGTGACCTCTTGGTCAGTCATAATACATGGGAACAGATTCAAGTCGTTTTAGAGCATTTAAATTTACTTAAATCATTTTAAGTTCCAGGAAGCCAGACTTAAATATTCTTTTGTATGCATTAATACAAATTACCATGTGTAAACACAGACCCACCCCTAATATTTGCAGAGCCCAGAACAAGAGTGCAAATAAAATCCTGCATCCCATATGTATAAGAATTTCAAAGTTATGAAGCAGACTAAAAAACTATTAAATTTTTTAAAGAAAAAATAAGGAAAGGACAGAAGGAAGGAAGACTAACAAAAAGGTAAATACACTATAATACACATCCATACACCTGGAAGGGTCAAATTTAGAATTCTTGGTCCCTCAAAAAAATACTCCAAAACAACTGTGAAGGAGAACTTGTCCCCCGTTTTTTGCTTTTGGCCGGAGCCGGGTTTGAACCACCACCTCCAGTATATGGGGCTGGCACCCTGCTCCTTGAGCCACAGGCACTGACCAAGGAGCTTTAATATATTCATACCACCTCTGCCTCGTGCAATTTTGCAATACTAAATTATCTTTTTAAAGAAGGATAAATTAACATATTACCATATTTTGCTGTGTATAATGCACACCCACATTGTTGACCCAAACTTTCAGGAAAAATCTTTCTTTTTAATTCACATTTTTATTTGTTTATATTTGGGTACTTGTTTTCGTATTGTAAAGGAATTTTAGCATTTATTTTTTAACCTAGAGTGACTTTTAATGCATAAACATGAATAAAGAATCAAAAACATTTATATAAATGAGGAATTAGCACTACCCATGTATAATGTACCTCTGTATTTTCCCTCAAAAAAGTACACATTATACATGGCAAAATACAGTATCTTATGACAATGTAATAACTTGTCAGGGTCCCAACAGGAAAAAGATGTCACACACAAAGATGGAGGAAGATTTATTCCCAAAGTGTAGCTGAGGTAGAGTTTCTGAAGGGGAGCTAGGTAACTTGGCCTCCTCTTTGAGGAATAGGAAACTTCCGAATGTCTGAGACAGGCAGAAAACATTCTGTGTTCTTTTTGATGAGCAAACATTACTTTTATAATCAGGAAACAAAATGAAAGTCATTCATTTTGAGAAAAAATAAAACGAGCAGTAGTTTACCTGTTTGGCTACTTTCTTTAAAATCTTACTGTTTTCTTTTTCTTATTTCTCCTCTGCTTTCCATCGAGTCAGATGTTTCTGGCCCAGGTAATGTTCAGCCACCCTTCTTGGGGTTCTAGATTGTTTCCTCATCAAAGCAACCCTCCTGACTGTCAGCTAGCTTGGCTCCGGGAACATCCCTCTCCAGGTCGGGCAGGCTCCATGGAAGAGGGGGAGCCCAAGTAAGGCTGAAAGGGAGCCCATACTCCAACCCAGCCTGCTGGCTGTCATGAGCCGGGCCTCTCCCTCCCGGTAGCCTAGAGAAAAAGTAGCATACACAGCAGAGCTGGGATCCGCACTCACTGAATAGCTTGCTTTGGGCAGACCCCGGCTTACATCTGATGTGCTCACGGGCCTACCTTTGACACTGACTGTCCTTTCAAAACTGCATTTAGAAAAGCCTTTCCTGTCTTTTTCTCGCCATCTTAACTTACATTTCTTTGATTATTGTTTTGGTACAGATGGCCTTTCTGAACGTGCTTAGTAAAGTGTAGGACCCTTGGTTCAATTTTTACTAATTTATAACCACACTGAGAAATACAGATTTGAAACTTTACACGATAAGATTTCCCATTCTCTAGGGTGAGAAGATGTTGTAGGGGATTTGATAGACTCTATAACATCCCTGCTATAAGGGAAACCCCATCAGAGTAAAGTAAACTAAAGGCAGCTTAGCTGAAGATGACAGAATAAGGCCACCCGGCCACCCACCTTATTTGCAAGTGTTATTGGGAGTGTCCATCTTGCCTGCCTTTCTGCTGTATGATGCATGGATATGGCACCCCTTCCATGACAATATCATCTTTTAAAGCAAATAGCTATTGCTCACCTATTACATGCAAAGCATTCTAATGCATTTTAATGAAGTGAAGATGACATCATCCTGGCCCCACAAGCTTGGGCCACTTCAGAATATTTGTGTTTTCTCTTACTAAGCCTTCTTACCACATGATTGTGTCATCAGCAGATTTGGGAATTTTCCGGCGGGCAGCTATGGTGTTCTACACGGACTGTGTCCAGCAGTGTAGCCGGCCTCTGTACATGGTATGTGCGTGCTCCTGTGCTCCTGAGTAGGGATAGCAGGCGGGGCAGGCTCAGGGCACTCACTGAAGGCTCCTGAAGTCAAGAGAGCCAGATGGCCCTGGGTGGCTGAGGTCCAGTTAGTGGCGGGAAAAGTATGTTGCTTTCTCTTTTTCATAAAATATAAGCTAGGATGTTGCCGTTTTTGTAAATGAAATAATTGCTGGTACATAAAGAAAAATATCTATGTGCCCAACTGTAAAACAGTGACAATGACTATGGGGGAAGAATCAAGACAGAGAATCCCTATAAATACTTATCCAAAGAAGTGCTCTTGGGAAAATAAAAGGGCAGACTATTAATAATTACACCAAGACAGCAGGCGTAAGCCAGGCCTGTCCCTAGCAAACTATGACATGTGGTCACTCCAATCACTTTCATTAGGAACTGACACTTCCACCTTAGGCATTTCTGTTTTGTTTGACTTTTACAGTGAACAAGAATATTTTTTTAAATTGTGGTTATTACCTGGTGGTTGAAATATACTTCTAAGAGTTTGCCCTTAAAGTTTTCAGTACATTATTTGCTTCTACATTGAGACTAGAGACCAGGGTCCTGGTCCCAGCTCTGTCTTAGCTCACTGACCGGTGATCTTGGGACGTTACTTACGTCCTCTGAGCCCATTGTCCCCTCACACTCTCAGCCTTTGCACAGTGCCATGGTCAGAATCAGCAACACTGTTATGGCCTGGCACACAGGGATGTAGTAAGTACCTTTATAATCAGAGGGGGAGTCTTTTAGCTCTCTAGAGCTTGGACAAGAGCTACAGGCCCTAAAAACTTGAAGGAGTTGAGGCTGGAGGGTTTTATTCAGGGTAGAATTAAAAAGCCCATTAGGACCTATTAAGAGTTAGTCATACCTTAGCTGTGAATCAGTGTTGGCAAGTAATGCTTTCATTTGTTTGTTTTTTACGTTAGCTGATACAGACTTTCTTTCTTTCTTTTTGTTTTTAATAGATTTATATTTTAAGGCAGCTTTAGGTTCACAGCAAAATTGAGCAGAAGGTGTAGACATTACCTGTATAGCCTCTGCCTCCCCCCACACACACAGCCTCCCTCACTAGTAATGTTCCAGACCAGAGTGGTACCTGGTTATAACTGAACTTGCAATGACACATCATCGTCTCCCAATCCATAGTCTACAGCACATTAGAGTTCACTCTTGATGTATGGGTTTTGACAAATATGTAATGACATGGACCTACCATTATAGATCACACAGTTTCATGGCCCTAAAAATCCTCTGTGCTCTGCCCGTTCATCACTCCCTCCCTTCTAACCCCTGGCAACCACTGATCTTACTGTCTCCACAGTTTTCCAAAATGTCATGTAATTGGAACCATACAGTATGTAACCTTTTCAAATCGGCTCCTTTGACTTAGTAATACGTATTTGAGTTCCTAGCTTATTTCTTTTTAGCACTGAGTAATAAGCTGTTGCCTGGATGTCCCACATTTTACCCACTCACCTACTGAAGGACATCTTGTTTGCTTCCAAGTTTTGGTAATTAGGAATAAGGCTGTCATAACATTCATGTGTAGGTTTTTGGGTGGATATAAATTTTCAACTCATTTTTGTAAACACTGAGGAGAGCTAATGCTAAACGGTATGGTAAACATACATTTAGTTTTGTAAGAAACTGCCAAGCTGTCTTCCAAAGTGGCTGTATCATTTTGCCTTCCCACCAGCAATAAATGAGAGTTCCTGTTGCTCCACGTCCTCTCCAGCATTTGCTGTTGTCAACGTTTTGGATTTTGGCCATTCTAATAGGTGAATTAATGTTTCTTTAAAAGAAGATATTGCCTCCAAATTGGAGGGATCACATGTAAAGGCAAAGAATCACTGCTTTTAAGTAGGAGATGAGTGTCCATGAAAATTAAATTCCTGCTCGGCGCCTATAGCTCACCCGACTAAGGCGCCAGCCACGTACACCTAAGGTGGCGAGTTCAAATCCCCAGCCCGGACCCGCCAAACAACAATGATGGCTGCAACCAAAAAATAGCCGGGCATTGTGGCGGGCGCCTCCTGTGGTCCCAGCTACTTGGGAGGCGGAGGCAGGAGACTCGCTTGAGCCCAGGAGTTGGAGGTTGCTGTGAGCTGTGAAGCCATAGCACTCTACCCAGGGGGACAGCTTGAGGCTCTGTCTCAAAAAAAAAAAAAAAAAGAAAATTAAATTCTAATCAAATCACACCCAAAAGTTTTAAGTAGGAACAGGAACAGATTGCAAATAAATCTCTAGCAGAGTCATTGTCTTTTGAGATGGACCTTTCCTATCTATTTTCACTTCTACCCAGTAACTTTCTACAAAGCCCATGCATTGTAAAGACCAGGAGCCTGAGAGTTGTAGGACCTCCCTGGGTACAAAACTAACTTCTTACAATTGAGTCCCAAGAATTACAATAGAGGCTACCAAGTAGGATAACCTGGAGAAACAGTCCTGGATTATACAGCACCAGTGACAGAATTCCTTTAACCACTAAGTAATCAGCACTCATCACCAACCTCTCCTCTGAGAAGTGGGCCCAGTTGCCCAGCTCTGTGAAACACTGGGGAGAAATAGCCAGAGTCCTGCTTTGCTGACCACATCTCCATTCATGGGGATGAGCGCAGGTCTGTTTGCAGTTGGAAGCCTTACCAGGTAGTCCTGATAGAGGATCAGTGTCAGACCACAGAAAAGTTATTTTTTTCACTGAGGTGATTGTTTCCCCATAGTTGATGCTTTCGGCACAGCAGGTTAAGAGAAAAGTAGTATATATAACCTTTTGTTTGATGTTTTCCTTCCTCTTTTCCAGGATAGAATGGTGTTGCTCATCACGGGGAATCTGGTTAACTGGTCCTTGTGAGTAGTCTTACAAAAACACATGTTTATCTTTATTTAGTGTCTGTCACACTGGGGTTAGCTTTCCTGGACTGTTATGTTTTAGGAAAAAATCTGAATTAAGGAGAGGATAAAACTGCTTGCCCTGGAGACTTGAAGAAAGACACTTTTCTTCTTGCAAGGAAGGCAGTAGGACGCTCATGTGGGTCAATCGCAGCCTCTCCTAAAGCACTGGTGCATAGAGTTCGTTTCCTTAACAAGACAAGCATCAAAACTCCTGAAATCTGTGATGGATCAGATAGATGGAAGCAATAGGCATGTAGATAGATCAATGCTATGCCATTTATTGCAAAAACACAACATAATTTCAAACTGTTTTATAGAACATTCCATAAAGGTTACCCGTAGGCTTTCTTTCCTGCAGACATTTCTTTCTTACTGAACATGCATGTGTGTGAGCGAAAGCAAGTCTCTTTCCTATTTCTTTCCTTCCCTCTAGGTCTCTTTCTCCTACTCCTTCTATGTCACTCTTTCTCTTTTTTTTGTCTCATCAACCCCATGGGCCTTTTTTCCTCAAATGGCCTCAAAAATAGAACAGTAAAATAGCTTATTTTTGCTAACCCAAACTATTTCATGCAACCCATTCTCAATCCAAACATTCAAATGAGTGATCTACTGTATTGATCATTCAAAAAATAAGTTAGTTTTGCTACTGTTATCTGTGGTTCTTGGCTGCTATGCTCCTGTGGGTCAACGACCTACACAGTAAGACACAAGAATAGGACTGAAGAAAGAAGCAAGCCTTCCAGGGAGCCAGAATCAAGTCATAAGAACTTGAATCATACTTGGAGGACATATGCTTCTGGAAGAAAGTTCCCATGTTGTCACCCCAGAGATCGCCGCAGGATAAAAAGTCCCTTCTTTATTTTGGGGTGAGTCAGGATGAGAAGATTGTTGGGCCAAGGTCCCTGCCATGTTATTCTTGACCATCCTTCTAGGAGTGGACTCCACAGTCTTGTGACTGAGGGCACTAAAAGGAGAAAAGGGACCCATCTCATGGTAACGAACATCCAGAGACTATGATTCTGGGGCTCAGAATCACCTGGCTTATATCTGTCTCTCACATGACTAAAACCAAACCCACAATCTGCTCATAAGACAAGGCAAATGGTCTTTCTCCTCCCAGACATCTCTGTGGGACAGCAGGGCCTACAGGGATGAAGGCAGCATGATGACCCACTGACACTGTGATGATCCCATGCAGGGGTGTCCGACCCACAGCTTGCAGGCCACATGCAGATTATGTGAAGACTGCTTTGCTTACATGTGGTGTTGGATATGGCAAGAAAAATATGCAAAAACCATTTTTTTTAACCCATCAGCTTTTGTTACTATTTGTATATTTAATGTGTGGCCCAAGATAACTCTTCTTCCAATGTACGGCAGAGAAGGAAAATGGACATCCTGTAGAGGGTCACCTTCCTCTCAGCTGCTCTATAAAGCCATGGACTGATTTAATACGAACGTTACTTAGATGATGCTAAAGAAGGAAAATGTTATATCCGTGTGTGTATACCATATATATGTAATACCACACACACATAAACAGAAATGTGTGTATATATTTGTGTGTGTGTATATTTGTGTGTGTGTATATTTGTTTGTGTGTGTTTATTCATGTGCTACTTCAGAGGCTGAGGCAGAAGGATCACTTGAACCCAGGAGTTTGAGATTACTGTGAGCTAGGCTGATATCAGGGCGCTGTAGCCTGGCAATAGAGTGAAACTCTGTTCCTAATTAAGTAAATAAATAAATATTCATGTGGAGAGAGAGAGAGAAAATGCCAAAATAAATGTGGCAAAATGCAATAATTCGTGAATCTGAGTGGAGGCTCTACAAGAGCCTTCTAGTACACTGAAAGATTTCAAAATCCGAGAGGAAACAATTTTCTATATTGCACAGAACAAAGTTGGGTTAGAATTCAAAATGGACAAAAAGAGGGTCCATTAATCATAGCTTTATACTTAAGATACTTAGGAATAAATTTTGAGAGATGTACAGAATCTTTCTGCAGAAAACTAATTTCCTTATTAGAGACCTAATGCAAACTAAATGAAGAGAGATATCGGGCCATTTAGTTTGACTATGGCAAAAATATCCCTTTTCAAATTAATATATAAATTTAGAATTAGAATTGTAATTAAGTTAGTAGTATATAATTCTAAAATGTATTTGCCTAGTTAAGCAAAAATTTCAAAGATCTCTGAAAAAGAAGAGTAACAGAAGGAAGGCAGGGCAGAGGGGTATAGTGACTAGCCCAGCATTATCCAGTAGAACTTTCTGGAATGAGGTAAATGTTCCACACTGCACTGTCCAATACAATACCTGCTAGTACATAGACCCTGAGAACTTGAAATGTGACTAGTGTGACTGAGGAGCTAGGTTTTCAGATTTTTTTTAATTTTAATTAATTTAAACTTAAATAGCTACATGTGCCTACCAAATGGGATCACACAGGCTAGCTTAACCAGATGCTCTAACATATTATAAAACAATAATGAACTAGTGAAGCATTGATCCAAAGTTACAAATTAGAAATATAAATCAGAATGGAAAGGACAGATACCCAATAAGCTATAGATGTACATAGAGATATTTCTTAATACCTAGGTCACTATGAAAGTTTTGAGACACAGCATGTTATGATCTGTTATTTTACTTCCAAGAAATACAATCAACAGCATCCTTTATTTTGTTTCTTCTTTTTATTTATTTATTTATTTTTTGAGACAGAGTCTCACTTTGTCACCTTTGGTAAAGTGAGGTGGTGTCATAGCTCACAGCAACCTCAAACTCTCAGGCTCAGGCTCTTGGCTCAAGCAATCTTCTTGCTCAGTCTCCCAACAAGAAGAACAGGCTCCTGCCACAACTCCTGGATAGATGGGGTCTCACTCATGCTAAGACTGGTCTCAAACTCCTGAGCTCAAGCAATCCATGCCTTGGGCTCCCAGAATGCTAGGATTACAGGCATGAGCCTGGCGACAGAGTCCTTTCTGATTCACCTGTGCAAGTTTCGACTTGCTGGGCTTACCAGTGTTTTCGGAAGGGCCTCATTTTCCACCTGGTTAAATTTTATGTTTCTTGGTATTTGCATATCTCAGAACTTTTGTAATGACCCACGTAGGTGCGTGGATGTATGTTTATTCAAAAAATTTTCAAAACAACAGAAGTAATACTATGTAATAAAGAGTTTGTTAAAACTGAATAGAAAGTAGAATAAAAGTTAAGTTAAATCCCAGCCCAAATAAACTTCAGTATTAATTTTAAAACCATGGACAGCAAGCAAAAATTTGGGGATGTGTATCAAGCTGAGTATGAAGATGATTCTAGCAATCTATTCTAAGGAACAAATAGACTCAATGTGCCTGAAGGTATTCATTTATTCATCACAGTTTTCCTTATACATAGTAATAGTGAAAAAACTGAAAGGTGTAGGGAAAACCCTCCATTTCAACCAAAGAGGAAAGATGACTATTTATAGTACAGTCCCTTGTGAGAACTTTACATAGTCTTTAGGTATGAATGTTCTTGTAATAAATTGAAAGTTACTTATGGATTCTAGGGTTCACTTTTGTGGTTTATCTTACAAGGGTACAAGTGAATCTTTCTATGAGTAGAATATGAACATTTTAACACAATAACTAAGAAAATGACATGAAGGCTATGTTAACCAGTTTGATAGAAGTGTTTTGGATTGTGTGTGAAAACACTACACTGTACCCCAGAAGTGCATTAATGTACACAGTTACCATTCAATAAAAAAAAAAAAAAGAAAGTTACTTATAAGTTAAAGTGTTTGGTTTTTTTTTTAAACTGACCCCCATCGATGGGGATGAGGGAGTGAAAAACCCAGCGAGGTTACAAATCCACCTTCACTGCTGCCAACATTCCTCCTGTGTCCCCAGCGCCCTCTTCGGATTGATATGCCGCCCCAGGGACTTCGCTTCCTACATGCTGGGCATCTTCATCTGCAACCTGCTGCTGTACCTGGCCTTCTACATCATCATGAAGGTAGGCCTGGGCGCGGGGGCAGTGCCCTGGCCTCCCGCAGGCCGTGGCTCCAGCTCCTGCATCTGCTTTTCACCCCACAGCTTCGCAGCTCAGAGAAGGTCCTCCCGGTCCCGCTTTTCTGCATTGTGGCCACCGCTGTGGTGTGGGCTGCTGCCTTGTATTTTTTCTTCCAGAATCTCAGCAGCTGGGAGGTAAGAGGTCAGTTTTCTTGTCCAAAAAGAAGGTCTCTCTCCACCTTGACTTGACCTTTCTACTTCCCTCTCTTAAGTTGTTTCTTTCTTCTAGTTATCCATTGTTCATTCTCGAAAATGTGACCTTTCTCTGAAAGAAAGGGTTTTTGATATCTGCACATAGATGCACAAGAACTGGCATGTGGTCATCGCCTTCAGGGTAGCACTTCACAGATTTGTAAGCCCAGGCTGGGCATGGTGGCTCGCGCCTATAATCCAAGCACTTTGGGAGGCTGAGGAGGGAGAATCACTTGAGACCATAAGTTCAAGACCACCCTGAGTAAGAATGAGACTCTGTCTCTAGTAAAAACAGAAAAATTTAGCTTGGCATGATGGTGTGTTCCTTTCATCCTAGCTACTCAGGGGGCTGAGGCAGCAGGATCGCATGAACACAGGAGTTTGAGATTGCTGTGAGCTGGGCTGATGCCTCTGCACTCTAGCTGGGCAACAGAGCAAGACTTTGTTTTTTTATTAAAAAAAAAAAAAAAAAGTGTAGGGCAGCGCCTGAGGCTCAAAGGAGTAGAGTGCCAGCCCCATAGGCTGGAGGTGGTGGGTTCAAACCCAGCTCCGGCCAAAAACTGCCAAAAAAAATTAAAAATAAAAAAAAGTGTAAGCCCTATATAAGGCGCAGATTTGATTTTCATTATATGTTGTATTATGATCCTAGTCCCAATGGATGGTTAACTTGTGCAAAAATCTTCTCTGGCTTTCTCCTACTCACCATCCATCAACAAATACCAGGTGTGGGTATTGATTACATCTATTTCACAGCGAAACTGAGGTCTAGGAAATTAGTACTATATCACCACGATAGGTTTTAGAACACTTTCCTTACCCCAGAGAGAAACCTCCTACACATTAGTAGCCACTCCTCATTTGTCCCTAACCTCCCTTTGATCACTATCGACTTGCCTATTCTGGACATTTCATAGAAATGGCACCAAATAATACGTGGTGTTTGTGTCTGGCTTCTTTCACTTAGCACAGTGTTTCCTAGGTCCAGCCATGTCATAGCACAGATCAGTACCTCATCTGTCTTTCTTGCTGAACAATATTCCAGTGTATAGGTATTCCACATTTTATCTATCCATTCGCCAGTTGGTGGAAGTTTGGGCTATTGCCGCTATTTGGCCATTCTGAATGAATGGTGCTGCTGTGAACGTCCGTATACAAGTTTTTGTGTGGACAGAGGCTTTCTTAGAAGCTGACTCTCTGAGCCTGAGGTTTAGGAGCAGCAAGCACTGTAGCTTTCAGGATGTTCAACCCCTACATAATCCAACTATGAGAATCCTGCCTGTGTCCTCCTCACTCTCCTCCAGGGCACGCCAGCTGAGTCCCGGGAGAAGAACCGAGAGTGTGTCCTGCTGGAATTCTTTGATGACCATGACATCTGGCACTTCCTCTCCGCGACTGCCCTGTTTTTCTCATTCCTGGTGAGTCTGTTACTCTCTTCTCCCTTTACATCTTGTACTCTCTCTCATTGTTGTTTTCTCTGCTCATCCTGATGTCCCCTTTTCTACTGCTCTGTAATTTCCCCTTTCAATTCCTCATAATTCAGTGTACAGATGATCTTACTTCTTTTTAAAATATTATATCCTTCGGATACATCTTTGTTTTTAATTTCCCTCTGTTCTTCAATATTTTCAGACACAGAATGATGAAATCATTTCCCCTAAGTTGCACAGCACATTTGGACTAAAACGGTCATTAGACCCACACACCCAGAATTCCCCCAGGAGCCACTTTGGGCATTCATCAAAATTCTACTAACATTGGATTATTCCTTCTTATGCCATGCTCACGTTCCTCTTCCTCTTCTAATCTCACTGAATGTTTTATAGATATTTTAAAGATTCCTGGAGTGGCTCAGGATAGCAGCCGGGCCTCCGTTGCCTTCTAACCAATCTCTCCAAAATCTTTCTTGTATTCCCTCTATTGTAATACAAGAAAGGACCCCAGCTCCTTTTTCAGAAGCCATGTGCTCTTATGTCAACCCTGGATGACAGCTCTTGGCATTCTTTAAAACTAATGTTGACTTTTCCAAATTCAAAGCCTATGGTGCCATATGTGAGTCCAGCAACAACAACCTTTCAACAGTGGACACGCAGTCTCAGGCCTGCCATGTAACCTCAGAAGTGTAGCAGGGCTACCCTCTAGTGGCCACTTTGGGAAGTTTAACCAATCAGTGCCAACATTCCTTATCACTTCCATTTCTGATACTCTCCTTTAGAGACAGAGACAACCAAAGTGGTAAGGTGCTAAGGTCCCATGTGGGGGCAATGGTAGTCAAGGGAACTAGAAATGGAGAAAGAGGGAACATTCCTTATATGTTATAGAAATGCTCTGTGCAAAAATGCTTCATATCCTTTAAGTCTTGATCTAAATGTCCTCTTCTCAGTAATGACTTCCCAGGGCAGCCTATTAAATCCTTTTACCTCCCTACACACCATACTTCCTATATTCCCTCCTACTTTAGTTTTTATCTTTAGTGTACAATACTATCTAGCAAACTCTTTTTCACTCGTGTATTTATGTCCAAAGTCCTTTTTTGGACGAGCTCCATTGAGAGTTTAGATTTTGGGGGGTTTTTTTGTTTCAAGCTATATCTCTAGCATCTAGAATAGCACATAATAAATCCTCACCAAAAGTTTAATGTAGCTGATAATTGAACCATGTAATCATAATAAATGCTTATTGAGAGCAAGGCATTGCAGAGAGCTGCACAAGACAGGGAAATGAGGGAAGGGCTCAGTCCTCAGTCTGTGGGAGCTTGAGAGAAAGTAGAGACTTCTTAGTGTGACGGTGACTGTACAACCCTTTCATCGCTCCCTTCCTCTCATTTCAGGTTCTGTTAACTTTGGATGATGACCTGGATGTGGTTCGGAGAGACCAGATCCCTGTCTTCTGAGCCTCTGACTAAGAGGGGGAGAGGGAGCGATCAATCCTGGTGCTGTTCAAGAAAAATACAGCGACCACAGCAAAGTAACCACTGCCAAATGCTCATTCACCCTCTGTAGGGTCAGCTCTGGAAGAAGAAGCTGGGGAATCTAAACTTGCAAGAAGGAGGCCACAACCGTAGCTCTGTGAGTGGGGCAAGGACTGAAACACATTTACACTGACTCACTATCTGGGAGCCCTGCCACCCTCACCTAGACTGGCTGGCAATGGCAGGATTCCCCAGCTGGAAATTTAGGCTTGCCTCTGTCTGCACCTCTGTGACACCCACTGCTCTAGATGTCACTTCCCCAAGGTCCCAAGAGGGAGTGATTCCTCAGAGTATGGTGGAGAGATGGACCCAAGCCCCACCTACTGCAATAGATATTCTAGTGGCACCAACTAGTCGTGTCCTTAGAAGAAGCACCAGAGGTTCCCCCCAGGTTCCTGACGCCCCTGGAGGGACATGAGATTGGGCTTTGTCTCTAGGACCAACCAAGGCCTGGGTGCTTACTTATTCCTTCGTGTCTTCATCTCACTGCTGCGTGTGAGGCCATCACTCTGGCACCAGCTCGGAAAGCCCTGTCAGCTCCAAGGTGGAAGAGGAAACAGGCAAACCTCTCCTAGCAGCAGGAGAAACAAAGGAAATAACTCAGCAGTGTCAAGAGACTGGTAATCACACCAGCAGGTGGGCATCACCTTACAGGTTCCTCAAAGGGATCAGCACTTAGCCTCGAATTCACACAGCTCCATGCTGTGTCCACATTGCCTTTAAGGAAGAAATAAGTGTTCTAACCAGGACATACCCTAGGGGTCCTCCACATCTGTCTTTGTATGTTGGGGTTCCACACTTGCTTCCTGGAGTTCCCAAGACTAACTCTTCAGGAGGAACACACTTTCCTCGTCCCCTCTCACTACAAAGAGCACAGCTAATTCAGTATTGTATCTTGGTTACATTTGACTCTCATTCTCTCCCCTTTAAGGTGTTGAAAAGCTGAGCGTCCCAGTTCTACTCACACACGGCCTGGCAGCCCTAAGAAGTACATTGGGACCAGGCTCCCTTGCAGCCTGGAGTGTGATATAATCAAAAAATAGACATACACGTGAGAGCATGCTTATACATTTGCTTGTGAAATTGAAGTCACCTCTCACCTCTACTTTTCTGATCATTCATTACAGAAACTTTCTTTTAAAAAAAATTATTCTTTATCTAAAATATTTGTATGGTGTACAAAATTATATTTTAGAAGTCTGAAGAACAAGTTTTCCTGACTTTAAAAACACAAAGATGCTTTCAATGAACAATGTGGTGATTTTTTTAAAATACTTCCAAATTTGTACTTGGTCTGTTGTTATTCTTGAGTCCTTAAAAATTGTTGGTCTCCATAGGCCATATGAAGGCCACCAATTAAATGGTTCTGTCAACCTAACTTCTAAAACATGTTTGAACTTGTTTGACCTCATTCGTTTATTTTTAAGGCACTCATGGTTTCTAATCCGAAAAGGACCCACTGAGGAAATGTAAACAACAAAGTCCATTCAAGTAGTCCTGTGGCCTGAAGTGAATAAATGTTAAGATATGTACATTACCTGTTTGGTAACTTGTTTGGGAGAATGTCAGAGGGGGGCTGGTAGAAAAGGATGGATCCTTCTTGACCGTTTTCTGATCCTGTGTGTCTTGGCCTATAAAGTCACACATTGTGGTGGTCAGTTTTGTTCTCTGTAGCAGGACTGAAAACCAAGACTAAGCCTATTTTGTAAATACCAATTCTAGGAGCCAGGTGCAGTGGCTCATGCCTGTAATCCCAGCACTCTGGGAGGCTGAGGTGGGTGGATCGCTTAAGCTCAGGAGTTGAAGACCAGCCTGAGCAAGAGTGAGACCCCATCTCCAAAAATAACTGGCATTGTAGTCCCAGCTACATGGGAGGCTGAGGCAAGAGGATCACTTGAGCCCAAGGTTTTGAGGTTGCTGTGAGTTATGACTCCACGGCACTCTACCCAGGGTGACAAAGTGAGACTCAGTCTCAGAAAAAAAAAATCAATTCTAAATGAATGTGTTGCTAATTCTCTCTGCAGCACCAATCTCATGGTTGGAGAAAGTCATTTGGCTGCAAGTGTGAGGTTAACACAAGGGCAGGGGTGGAGGGGAACAAGGAGAGTCAGACAGCTGAACAGTGCACCGTGTGCTGCGGTGCCCGTGCTGACCCCTGCCTGTGTTCATGGACATCACTTTTTTAAAAAGAAAGGAAGGCTAACTCAGAAAGCTAAGTTCAACTGGAGGGTAACTGGAGAAAAACAATCACTCTGAAGAGGTTCCTGGCAGGACAAGCTCAGAAGAAATGAGAGCAGTTTAGCTAGAGCAAGACAGGGTAGTGGCAGCCAAGAGGGGCGAAACTGCACATAAAAAAAGGACCTTTCCACACTTCTGACAAATGCTGCAGAGGCAACTCCACCTGTTTACACTGGACAGTTTAGTGAGGGATTAGCCTGGTTTTATTTTAGCAGCAGGAGAAGCCAGTGGAAAACCACAGTCTATCTGGGGAAGGGACTTTCCATGACTGAAAGAGATCACCAAACCAGCTCCTTGGGGCAGAGAAGGTGGCAGCTGCTTCCTTTGTAACTCCAAGCACTTGCCAGAATATTCTGTGGGATTGCGAAAGTCATGTCAGTAAATCGAGTAATACCCAAATGTTTCTCACTCCGGGTGATAATTTCTACGTCTAAAATGTGAGGGAAAGGGAGAAACAAAAACATTCTTCAGGGAAGGAACAGTAGAAACCGAGAAAGATTCTGGAGTCGGGGCTGCACCTGTGTCTCAGTGGGTAGGGCACTGGCCCCATATACCGAGGATGAAGGTTCAAACCCAGCCCCAGCCAAACTGCAACAAAACTAATAGCCAGGTGTTATGGCAGGCACCTGTAGTCCCAGCTACTTGGGAGGCTAAGGCAAGAGAATCGCCTAAGCCCAGGAGTTGGAGGTTGCTGTGAGCTGTGATGCCACAGCACTCTACCCAGGGCAACAAAGTGAAACTGTCTCAAAAAAAAAAAAAGGTTCTAGAGTCAGACTTTAGTCCAAATATGTCTACCTACTCGCTGTGTGATCTTGGATAAGTCACTAAAGCTCTCTGATCCTCAGCTGGCACTGCTCCAGGACACTACACAAGAGCCCAGCAGCAGTGTGAGCACAGAGGCACAGAGGAAGTCTCAGCTCACACCTCTTTGTTCCCACAGGGAGCCAGGGCCAGCACAGGTGTGCTGGCTGGCTGGGGACTCTCCTTCAGGGGCTCTCCTATCTGCCCTCTCAGTTCCAGGAGCCCCTAAGGGCTGGGAGGCCTCTTCACCTTCAGAGACACTGCCAGAGCATTCAGCCTCCCATCCTCCATCCCTGCATGTCCATGATTGATCCATATCAGCAACTGTGGCCCTTAATATGCTGCTTCCAACTCAAATGAAAAAGTTCTGCCAAAGTCAGGCCCCAGTGGAAAGCCTGGCTGTGCACAGAGTCACGCCTCATCACTGCCATCTGTGCCCTAGGAATCTCAAAGGAAAGAAAACCTAGCGATTCTCCTCTCCAGAAGCAATTAACAACCGAGGGTCAGGGAGTGCCACGTGCAAATGCTACGTCCACCCTACCCCCCAACACAGACGTTCTGTTGGGCAAGCTTGGTTGTGCAGCCTGTGTGAGGAGAGGGCTTCCACCTGCAGTGACAAAACAGGTCCCAGAAAGAGGAAGCAGGGGAGCATCACTCAGGTTTTGAAATGACACGCTCCGATGCTGTCAGAGCTAAGAAAAAGCACTAAGAGTAAAGCAACGCTCTGCCTGGAGCTGCTTAATATCCTTACTTATCATGATGCCGCACAGCTTGTAGTAGTTGTGTTTTTATTTATAGCAGTTATTTGTTAACACTTGGAGGAAACAAGATAGAGTTACATGACTAAACTTTACTGTCTCCTCAATATTAAGGTACCATGGTCAACCAGGTCAAGTGCTTGGGCCTCAGCTGGGTGCAGCGCTGTGTGCCTATAATCCCAGCTACTTAGAGGCCAGGAGTCCAAATCCAGCGCAGCCTGGGCAATGAAGCAAAACCCTGTTTCTTAAAAAACTAAAAACAGAAACTTTATTGCTGAGTTTCTACTCCTGAGTTTCCATAGGAATAGAGTTTTAGCTTGCACAGGACTCTTCTGTAAAAAGAGACCCCTTATTAGATGAACTCCAAGGGGGGACTTTTTATATTGAACAGTTTTTGTGAAACATGACCTTGCTATTCTCACTGAAATTCAAACAAGAGTAGGTCGTAACCATTATTCACAACGATTATCCTTTGCTCCCCCAATCTCCCCTAAGAATTAGAGCTCTTTCCTCTTCCTTCTTCCTAAATATCTCTAGATTAAGAGAGTTCATTATTTTCCCTGAACTCTTACATGTTTTAAAATTCCTTAGGTCTCTCCTACATCCTTTTGGCTGCCCTAAAGCTCCTGTCCTCAAAGGCATATCCATTTCACTGGAGATGAACAACAGCTAACACACTTTAACATATTTTAACATAAAATAGCTTTGAAGTCATATTATATTTCACCCAAGTGCTAAATAAAGATTGAATGTCACATCTCTTGTCCCAGTATTATAGCTCTGATTTAGAAAACAACTTTAAACAATGTAATATTTTCAAATCAGGGCCTGAGAAATCTGATATACAATCCTATCATGGCTAGCTCCTGGGGCCCTACTTTATATTTACTCTAAATCTCGACATTTTTGTGAATTATGACTCTTAGTCTTTTTTTTTTTTTTTTTTTTGAGGCAAAGTCTCACTATGTCGCCCTTGGTAGAGTGCTAGGGCATCACAGCTCACAGCAATCTCCAGCTCTTGGGCTTAAGTGATTCTCTTGCCTCAGCCTCCCAAGTAGTTGGGACTATAGACTGCTACAACGCCTGCCTTTTTTATTGTTGGTGGTGCAGTTTTTGGCCGGAGCTGGGTTTGAACCCGCCACCTCCAGCATATGGGGTTGGCGCCCTACCCCTTTGAGCCACAGGCGCCGCCCTTTTTTTTTTTTTTTAGAGATGAGGTCTCAGGCTGGTCTTGAACCCATGAGCTCAGGCAATCCACCTGCCTCAGCCTCCTAGAGTGCTGGGATTACCGGTGTAAGCCACTACTTCTGGGCTCTTAGTCTTTTAAACAAAGGATTGTCCAAAATAATTCATAAACTCCTATTATGTTGCCGAAACATTGCCATCACAAAGAGAAGTTGATCGCATTTTAT